GGTGACGGGCACAGGTGGCACTAGTGGAGCCAATTGGTCACCAAGGTCCCCCCACACCCCCAGGCCTCCAGCTCAGCACCCACCTGTCGGATGAGCGGGAATTTGGAGAGTTTATGAACTGCCATGGGTTCCAGGGGCTGCTTGCTTGACTGTGTCTGCATCCGGCACAGCACCACGATGATGACGGCCATTGCCACAGCCAGCGAGCCCGAGGTGTAGATGATGATGTCTGTGTACTTGGCCTCGGGGACTTCAGCTTCCCGCACCAGCTCCTCTTCTAGAGGGAGCGAATGAGTCGGCCTGACCCATGGTCCCTGTGTGCCAGGGTTACCAGCTCCCACCCCAGGACGCCCACCCCTACCTGGCAGCACGGTGAGCCAGGCAGACTGGTAGGAGAGGCCGATGGAGTTGCCCGCCAGGCAGGTATACTCGCCAGCATCCTCCGCAGAGACATTGCGCAGGTACAGCACCTCCACCTCGGAGCTGTTGATGTCTGCAGTCTGCCAGGGAGAGGGATGGATGGTGAGCATCCATTCTCCTAGGGGGGGCTCTGTGTACCCCTTGTCACCACTTTGGGGTGGGCAGCTGGGACCTGGGTGCTTCCAGCCCTTGTTACCTTGAGCACTTGCACGTAGGGGACCCCGTCGGGACCGTAGCTGCTGCCGTTCACCTCGATGTGCTTCAGCCACTGGATGTGGGGCTGGGCATCACTGTAGACCTTGCAGAAGAACTCCACGTCGCTGCCCACCAGGGCCGTGGTGTTGGCGGGCAGCCCAGCCTGCAAGATGGGCCTGTGCGGCGATCTCTCTGCGCAGACACCAGAGCAGTGTCACCAACTCGGTGGCCCAGAGCAGGGACTCCTTTCTCCCCCCGTCTCTACCCACCGTGAAGCCACAGAGGGTCTTTCCCTGGCCCTACAGCAGACTGGTGCCACCCAAGCCTGGTCTCCATCCCCAAGTTCCTTGGGTGTGAAGGACACGCGGGCCGCACCAGCAGAGAGGACACTAACAGAGGCTCCTCTGCTCCCTTTCCCATGACCCCGACCCCCCTGCCAGGTGCGGGGAGAAACAGGGAGCCAGAACCAGCACCAAGGAGCCCTCACCCAGCACGTCCAGGAGATAGCTGTAGCGGATGCTGCCAAACCTGTTCTCCACCAGGCAGGTGTAGTTGCCGCGGTCAGAGGGCACCACGCTCTCCATCACCAGGCTCCAGTGCTGGTGCCGGAGCTGCAGAGGAGGAAGGCAAGGAGGTGAGGTGTGATGGGGGAGCCGACCCCCAGGAAGGGAGGTCGCAGCGGGGGGGCCCTGGCTCTTACCCGGATGCCCCCAATGCGGTGCTCCCCCCGGAACTCACGCCCGTTCTTGAACCAGCGGATGCTGGGGCTGGGGCTGCCCGAGGCCGGGCAGCGAAACTTCACTGTGTTCCCTGCAGGGACTGCATAGAGCTTCTTGTCCATCCGGTGCGGGTGAGTCCAGTAAGGAGCTGGGGAGGCATGGGACATACAGTGGGAGGGGGCCA